CTGAGATACGAGCCATCTTGCTCCAAACTCGTATCTGCTTATTTTGGTGTCCTGAATGCAAGGATAAAAATCTAGCGGACAAACTCACTCCTACTCCTCTGCTCTCTAGCATCGATAGTCAGGACCCGCCAACACCGACTATAGGTCATTGCCCTTCTGCTAGCATCGTCAATAAAGCAACCGAAGTAGAAAACACTTATCTCAAACTGCTCAACAAAGAGAGGGAAGACAAAAACGCTATTCTTAAGTCCAATGTTAGTCTCCTTGAGCTTAGAATCAAGTCACTGGAATCTGAACTGTCTGCACTTCATGAGGCACCTACTCCTCGGGATGGTGATGGCGCGCCGGGTGTGTCTGAACCCAAACCACTTCAAATTGCAATTGAGAGTCTGTTCTATGAACTTAAAGAGAGAGAAAGCCGTCGATCCAACTTCATAATCTTCAATTGCCCAGAGTTAACTACCAACATCAATGAAGTAGCTAGTAGTGTGACTGACCACTGCCTCGGACGGGCAGCTGGAGATGATCTTCAAGTATTTCGCTTGGGGAGAGTGATTCCTGGCAAGAATAGGCCAATAAAGGTGATATGCAGCTCAAGTAACTTAGCAAACGATATCCTACGCAACTCAAATAAGCTCAGAACACATAACAATCTCAAACACCTGTCAATTAGGGAAGACAAGACTACTCAGCAACTCCAAGAGTATCGGAAGCTCAAACAACAAATGGATGAACGTGTTAGAGCTGGTGAGACGAACCTAAGGATAGGTCACAAAAATGGATCGCCCACAATTATCGCCACTAATCAAGCTGTAAATTTAAACTGATAGGGTTGTCTAGCAGGAATATTCAAATAACATACCAAAATGTTAGGGGCCTTAACACTAAAACCACTGTATTTTATAAATCGGTTTCTCTCTGTGAAAGCCATGTTGTGGCAGTATCGGAAACTTGGATCCAGGATGGTGTATTTGATAATGAATTGTTCAACGACAACTATGCTGTCTATAGGGCTGACCGCAGGCTTGATCTCATGGATGTCTCAAGAGGTGGAGGGGTGCTTCTTGGTGTTAGGCACGACCTCACCTCGTCAAAACTTAACCTGGAAGAACTGGAAAATCTGGTACCTGTTGTTGATATTGTAGGCTGTAAGCTATATTTAGATAACTCTACCCTGTTTATTTTTGGTATTTATATTCCACCCAACTCACCCTCCAACTCACACCAGACCCTATTTGATTTTTTCTCCACATATGAACCTATTCAAAATAACAAAGTCGCTTTTATCGGTGATTTCAATCCCAACACAAATGTTAAGGAAACTCATATAAATGATTTTTTAGCGCTGGGGGGCCTAACACAATTTAACACTTTCTCAAACATATCTGGTAACATATTGGATCTTGTTATTGCTAACTTTGAATGTGAGGTAACTAGAGAACATCTTCCCCTTGTCCCGGAGGATTCTGCACACCCCACCCTTAATGTTTCATTTGACATGCAGCTAAACCCAGATGCGGGTTTCAGTGACTTTCCAACCTCTAACACAAGTAGAAACTATAACTTTAATAAGGCCGATTTCAACCTGATGTACCATCTACTTACTGTCGCAAATTGGGACTCTTTAATCAATGAATCTAATGTTAACCAAGCCGTCAATCATTTCTATGATACTCTTTACACCATTTTTGACCAATGTGTCCCATTGTATAAAAAAAAATCAAGTAGGGTTGTGTACCCCAACTGGTACACCAAAGAAATAATAAACAATCTTAATGAGAAGACTAGGCTTCACAAAAAATATAAAAAAAGTGGCTCAAACTTGGACTATCAAGCATATTCAAACATGAGACGTATGACAAAAATAAAAATTGATGTCGCATACAAAGCATATATAAGGGACACTGAATCTTCAATCAAGGTGAATCCAAAGCACTTCTGGAAATACATTCGTCAAAAACGCAATAAAACACGTATCCCAAGTAAACTAATTTCTGGTCAATCCTCCCTAGATTGTCCACAGAGTATAGTTAATGGCTTTGCAGAGTTTTTTAAAAGTGTCTATGAAGCATCTTCAGATTTTAGCTTGGATAGCCTGAATGATGTTGGCAACTCTCAGAACATTAATGTCACCCATATTACTGAATCGGAAATCTTTGATTCCCTGAAAAAATTGAAAAACACACATACTTCTGGGCATGACAAAGTACCATCTTTCATACTGCGGGACTGTGCCCCATGTTTTACATCTCCACTGCACCACATATTTAATTTAACAATCAAGACACACACTTTCCCCGATCACTGGAAAAAAACTAAAATATGTCCAGTATTTAAGGGCGGGGATATTAACAATATCTCTAATTACAGACCAATCTCGATTTTGTCCAACTTTTCGAAGGCCTTTGAGGTCTGTGTATATGACAATCTCTTCCACCAAGTTAAAAACTTAATTACCACTATCCAGCATGGATTTTATAGCAAACGCTCAACTGTCACTAACCTAACTTCTTTCCTAACAAAGGCATATCAGGCTGTAAATGAAAGAAAACAACTTGATGTGATCTACACGGACTTCTCGAAGGCGTTCGATAAGTTGGACCATGGGCTTATTGCTCATAAAATGCTACAAATTGGGTTTCACAACAACCTTATTAATCTATTTATCTCCTATCTCAGTGGTAGGTCACAATTTGTCGAATACAATGGGTTCCAATCCTATGATTATAATGCCACCAGCGGAGCCCCTCAAGGAAGTAATCTCGCGCCTCTGATATTTGCCATATTTGTCAATGATATTGCCCAGAACGTCTCATCACACAGTTTATTATTCGCAGACGACCTCAAACTATTTAGAATAATTAACAACTTGGAGGATTGTAACGAGCTGCAGAAAGATATTGACGCACTTTCAGGTTGGTGTCAAAATAACAAATTATATCTAAACATCAATAAGTGTAAATCAATGACCATCTCAAATCTCAATCATGAGTTGAATTTTAATTACCAACTCCAATCTAGTTCTCTTTTGAAAGTTGACTCAATCCGGGATCTGGGGGTGGTGATCGACAAAAAGCTCACATTCAATGATCATATTGATCAAATTGTGAATTCATCATTGAAAACCCTGGGGTTTATTATTAGATCAACAAGAGAGTTTAAGAACATCGACAGTCTCATCACGTTGTACAACTCTTTGGTCAAGTCTAAATTGCAGTATGCTTCTCTGGTGTGGTTTCCTTACCATCAAGTACATGTGGACAGGCTTGAATATGTTCAACGGCGATTCCTAAAATATCTAAGTTTCAAAAAGGATGGAATTTACCCTCCAAGAGGATTTGACCACCAGTTGCTACTCAGCAAGTTCAACTTCCTCTCACTTCAACAGAGTACAATTTTAGCAAGTCAACTCTTTCTTTTTAAATTATGTAACAACCTGGTGGACTCTCCAGATCTTCTAAACAGCCTTAATTTTTCTTTACCAGTAGTCAACACACGCTCTCACCGTAAATTCTATTTGGAAAATCGCCCCACATATCTTGCCAGAAATGAGCCAATCTATCGAGCCTGCTCATACTTCAATCACCTGCAGAACAGTATCGATGTAGACTTATTTGTAGGTTCAGTAAACTCCTTTAAAAAAAATATCCTGCCAGTGGTTCGCAATCTGTGATAATGTATTTGCTGTGATAATTGTCCTGGCGGAAGTATGGGAGGTGACTTTCTATCTCTATTTTTTTTTCCTATTTTAACTGAGTAAACAATGCTAGTTTTTCTTATTATTTTTATTTGTATTTTTGTTTTTATTTTTATTTATACTTATTTTTATCTATATTTTTATTTTTATTTTTATTTTTATTTTTATTTTTATTTTTATTTTTATTTTTATTTTTATTTATTTTTATTTTTATTTTTATTTTTACTTTTATTTTTATTTTTATTTTTATTTTTATTTTTTGTTATTAGTTATTTTTGTTTTTAGTTTCATAGTTGTTTTTATTTTTGTTTAAGGCTTCTTATTAGCTTTCTGGATCTTATGTGTGATATAATCTTAGCTTTTAAATTTTCATATTTTTGTTCGCTCTTAAGTGCACTAATTGTCTCATTATTGGGAGTATGTATTCCTGTTAGACAATAAAGAATTGAATTGAATGACCAAATGGCTGATGTAGCTCGAGAGCATGCTTTCTCTAACTGTTTGTTCCAAGTGAGGGTTCGGTCCAGGGTGACCCCTAAGTACTTCACTTCGTTGGAAAATGTTAGTTGTGTACCGTTAAGGGTCGGGGCTTTCAAATTTAGCTTCCTTCTTCTTGTGAACGGGACAAGGATTGTTTTGAGGGATAGTCCTTCGCCTTCGCTCCAATTTTTAACGATGTTTAGGGCACTTTGCATTTGGCTTGTCACTATACCTTCATGTTTGCCCATGATTACAATGGCTAGGTCATCTGCGTAACCTATGACCTGGTACCCAGCACTACTCAGTCTGGTAAGAATTTTGTCTACCACCAGTGTCCATAGTAGCTGAGAAAGAACACCCCCTTGAGGACACCCTCTGATCGTGGTAGCGGTAGCTGATGCTCCGTTTATTTCAGCCGTAACGTGACGGTGTTTCAGCATCGACTCTATCCATTTTACAATTGGAACTTCAACATCCCATTCTTGTAATGCTCTGGCGATTGATTGATGTGAGGTGTTGTCAATTGCACACTTGTTAGGAAATATACTATTTTTTTTCAATATTAAAATCTATCTTGGGAAAAAATAGACTGTAGTGAGAATTGTCTTTTGTTTTGGAAAATTCTTATACGTGTTAATACTGTGCCTGATAATCCGGAGTGACATCACAAACACCTAGTTGTAGCTTTAAACCGCCCTAACTCAAAAACGGACCATCGTAGTAAGATGCGGTTTAAATATTTATTCTTAGATTTTTTTTGCACTAAAACTTTCATTTTTGGGTCACACCCCCTTTTATAGAAAACAGAAAAAAGTAAAAAAAAAAATTGTGCTTAAAGGAAAGATACCATACTTGCATTATAGAGCAAACACTTAGCCCATTAAAAATGCAAGAACAGTACTTACACCGTTTTTTATTTCTAATTAATTATTACAAGCATTAAATTCAATTAACAGTAAACTTTACACTGGAGTACTAATAATTTCAGAATATTTCTTAATCTTGCTAGCAACAGACATATCAACGTATCTGTCGCCGATGGAAACAACCATTCCACCAATAATAGATGGATCAACTTTAGTGGTCAACAGAATCGACTGACCTGCTTTCAAGAAAGCCTTCAATACACTTTGAAGTTTGGTCTTTTGATCGGCATCTAGTTCTTTTGCAGTTACAACTTCACAGGTGACCTAAAATAGATTTATTTTGGAATTTAGGCCTCACGTTAAAAATTAAAATACACACTTCTCCTCTGTGAGCAGCCATGATGGTTTTGAAAGCAGTGATAACACCGTCCAAGTTTTTGAGACGACCATTTTCAGCTAAAGCTTGAAGAAGATTGGCCGATTCAGCTTTTAACGATATTTTGGATGAGACAGTTTTGAGAGCATCTGATTTCAGAGACCTGGAAAATGTGATTGTTTTTTGTTCAAGCAGTTTACAAAAGCGCATTTGTGAGGTTTTTTTCTCTTACCTTTTAAGGGTTGGGTTCATTATGAACTCCTTGAATTTGGCATCAGTTTTAAGTGATTGTTGCAAGCTAGTCAAATCCTTTTCAACCCCCTCAAGGGACTTTTGCTTGCTGGCAGCTGAGTACAAAGCTGTAGCATAACGCCCTTCAATACCAAAAATTTGAATTGGTGGTTTTACTAGTTGACTAGCTACATTGCTAGTGCTGAATTTGCGTACCTAGCACCACAAGATGATGATTACTTTATACAGTAGATAATTACAGTTAAATAGGGGAAAAAATGATATAAGTTCTTTCTATCTTAACCTATGAAGTTATGTAATAGGATTTTTTTTTAATAGGAGGGTTGGTGAGGCATTGTTGGTAGAATCTCTTAATAATTTGAAATTACTTACGGCCATAGAGAGTTTTTGACTAGCCATTTTAAAGGACTATTGGGAATAATTTGATTTTGATTTAAATAACTTTTCTTCCCAATTTCTTTTTGACCAAAGTCGGCCCAAATGTCTGTCCAGACAGCCGACAGGAGGAGTGCGTTCGAAAACGTGGACAACAGCTGGTGGGTTCGGCTTGCTCACTCCGTGCACTCCAAGTGACTCTATTGCTTTTTGGCGTATGGAGTGACTCCGTTAGTGTTCGACTATACGGAGTGAAGTAAATGCAGTTCACTCCAAAAGCCCCCACCATGCCAAATCACCAGTTGTGACGTAGCAGCATGTCCGTTCTCGCCTTGACGTAGGCTGTTTGCACTTGAGATTAGGATTCCGCAATTCCGCGGCTAACACCCGTATGGTATGCATCGTATGGACTTGGGAGTTTAATCTGGCTTGGTTTGAAAATTTGCATAAAAAAGAAGTCCTAATCGGGTTTTAGCCACTGATCTGGATTAAGTCCTTACGGTGCATTTGGGCAGTTATCTCGACAACTTTAACCAGACACCCTAGGTCCTTGTCCCAAGTTTAGCTTGACTGATCGCAGTATGTTTATGTACGTAAATACTGTAATCAACAGTCCAAAAACTGGCTTTAGTAAATTCAGGGAATTTTTCCAGCGCTGGCTCTCCGTCTATTCCTCTTTGCCTATTATGTTAATCATAATTTAAAAAAAAATTCATCATAAATTCAAATTCTAATTCTAAACTACGATGACCACGACCTCTAGTCAAGTGTAGGGTTTTCATACGTCCGGATTTACCCGGACATGTTAGGGTTTTTAGGGTGTCCGGGGACGTCCGGCCGGAATTCGGAATAATGTCCGGAAAACTCGGAGATACCCAAGAATGATAGTGATGATACACACTACTATTACAGGATGACCTATCCTCATAAAGCCTGTGTGTAACAAACTACAAACTTAAAGTAACAAATCCCCCCACGCCCAAATACCAGTTGTGACGTAGGCAGCATGTTATTTTTCGCCTTGACGTAGGCTGTTTAAACAGCTGATGACGTCGGAAATGGTTTTCATTTCACACCAATATGGCAGCAGTTACCAAAAACAAGGCCGATAAGCCAGAGATAAGCACTCCTTAGAGTCCTTAGAGTGTGTATTCTCCTACCAAAAATTCGAAATCCTGGGGTGGCAAATAAATTGTATCCTGTATCCATTTATTCTGGATTGCCTATAGCAAAGCCTATAGGATTGATACACGTATTATATTTTTATCTCTTGTCATTGGTACCTTGTATTTGTCATTGTGTCTTCAGTCAACGGTAAAAATGCTCAAAGCGTATCTATTAATTTCTGTAAAAATTTATTTTTGCAAAAAATAAATAAAATTCACCCTTCATAAAAAATTTATCGGCGAAGTCCGGATTTTGTCCGGATTTCTTGACTCTTAGGTCCTGGATTCCCAAAAACCTTTATGGAAACCCTAGTCAAGTGCGAACACAGACGACTTGTTAATGACGTCGGAAATGGTGACACACCAATGTGGCGGTGATTTCCAAAAACGAGCCGATAAGCAATCCTTAGTAGTGTGTATTATCCTTGTTAGAGACTTATATTTCGCAACTAATGGCACATTATTTATGTACTACCATGAGCTGGCTCTGCGCAGTTTTGTGCCATAAAACGTTCGCACTTACCCCAGGATAGTGCGGGTTATTGAAACTGGAACTAGAGCTCGAACGCGTTTTGATTCTATGTTCCGAGCTGAAAAAGCCACTCGTGTTTGGCTGTATTAGGTTTGTTTCTGCAGAAATCACAAACCATTCAGAGTTCATTTCATTAGTTGAAACTAGTTTCCTGACTGTTTTCAACCAATGAAATTTGCTCTGACTGGTTTGTGATTTCTGCAGAAACAGACCTAAAGCCTGTTTTTTTTTTAACGATAATTCCCCAAGTAAAAATTTAGTAACTATGTTGTTGGCAACACAAGCCTTTTATACATAAAAATTTGAAAACATTGACAATTTTACATTGTATTGCCAACAGAATGTCATTTTGACTTTTATCTTTAAAAAAAAAACAGATTTTATTGTTAACAAATTTGTACACGAGGTCGCGAACTTGACTTCATGTTCTTTTGGTTGGGGGTTGGGATCCCACCAATCCTGAACTGATCAAGTTGAGTGTAAAACTGGAATGGCACGGTGTTCGCGGGCCCTATGCGCACTCAAGTATGGCTTGCTTTTTTGGGAATAAACTTTAGATGGGTCCAAATCCAATGGCCAACATCTTTGTAACAAAAAAATAAAATTATTAAAAAATAAATAATTTATTTTTATTTTTATTCTACATTTTGTACATCATTTTTGTTCTCTAAAATCTCATTGGTATCCTTTTCTTGGAAAACAAACCACTTTTTCTTGTTGATTAAAAATAAAATCATAAGCAGCGGTAGATGGATTAAAGAATATCTAAATAATTTTCTTGAAGTTGCACTAGATGAATCTTTGTAAAACCGGTAAGCTGCAAAAAAGAAATTCAAACATTCAAATGACTACTTTTAACTCATTTCTTACCTAAATAAATAAAATATAAATTCAATGGCGTGGCTTCCAACAAAAACCACCAATTTGTGACATCTAAAAGCGGAGCTGCAATACTCATAGCTTCTAATGCTACTGTATGCCTCAGAGCTACTCTTCTGCATAAACCAGGATCTGTAACAGCCATCATTCGGTATCCAGCTCTGGAATAGTCGGGACGAAGATTCCAGGACAGTGCGTTGAAGTGCGGAAATTGCCAACTATACAACAGAGCTGCCATAAGGAAAGCACCAGGGCCCAGTTCGTTGGCACAAGCAGCCCATCCCATTAGTGGGGGAATAGCTCCAACTAGAACAATAACAATAAATAATTCAACAATGTAATTTACTCCACTAGCATTAAGGCAATAATAATATGGCCTGATCTCATATCTGGAAGTTCGCTGGGGGTGTCCAAGACTGGACTGCCATTATGTGAAACCCTCAAGCTTAAATACAACACAATCCTAGAGGTTGTGGTTCCTCTGTTTAGTTCACTGGAGATATCATGATAAAGAATTTTGAAGAGGAGATTGAATACCCAACAGAGTAACAGAGTCTCAAATATTGAAACATGAGAAATAGTTAAAATAATGATCCCTGTAGTAGAGAAAAAATAGAAAAGTATTGGAGAGGCATTTGGGGCAAAGGTCAGGGGGATCATGATAAGCAAGCCAGGTGGATTGAAAAATATAACCAAAATATTAGTGTAAAAGAGATGGAGTGGGAAGACCTGTCCAAGGAAAAACTTACTGGTGCCTTGAGGAATGTTACTTACTGGAAGGTATCTGCCATGGACAAAATAAGAAACTTCTGGTTGAAAAGAGTGAAAACACTACAAGCTACACATGAATTTCTTATTATATGTTACAACAAAATGATAAATGACCCATTCCGTGGTTTGTCAGAGAAACCACCCACTTGATGCCATCAAAAAATAATGTCCCGAATAAGGCAAGCCACTTCATAACAATGATATGTTTGAAGTTTGAACGCGATGTATGCTAAGCCTTAGAAGTATTTTCTCCTAAAGACTGTTGTATAGTATAAATAAAGTATAAGTATAAAAGTATAGTATAAGTGTGAGTACCTATATAACATATTATATTTGTTACATTTCCATTTAAAATATATGGTACATTTAGTAATAAGTATAGTCCTTATAAAGAAATTTAAAAAAAACAAGATTGATAATCTTCTCTACATCAATGACTTGAAACTGATAACCAGGAACGATATTGAACTGAAGAGAAAACTAGAAATAGTGAAGGAGTGTCCAGTAACGACAATCGAATAGAGTTTGGATTGGAAAAATGAGTATAAATCTGAATAAGGTCGTTCAATGTCTTCAAGTGTTTATTAAAGATATATTTTACCATCTAATCACAATACAAATAACATTTTTATTTGTCACTCATTTGTAAAACGTCATTTATCAAGTCAAAACATAAACAACGAAAATTGATTTTTACCAGTTACTGGCTCTACTGACTTGTAAAATTGACAGCTGAACTGTAAAATCTTTTTACAAGTCAGTAGGGTCAGAGAATTATTTATTAAAATTATATTACCTATGTATTAATTTTTTATTTATTGTTCAAGATTGTTTACAAATGAGTAACAAATAAATTATTGTACATCATACGCCAGGTATCAGTTTTTACTGGTTCTTGAAGGTGACAAGCTCGCCTGACGGCTCGCTAGTCATTTCCTTCAATCACCAGTAAAAACTGTTTTACCTGGCTAATAATGTAAAATAGTATTAATCATAAGGACATATTATGCGAGGACAGAGAAATAATAATAATACCTACTAATGCTATTCATCATAGAAATATTTTGTAAATAGGTCACAAAATAAAAGATGGAAAAATTCACTAGTACAAAAGCGCCCATTAGAGAAAATCTCTAGTTTAGCCAGGGTGTAGTATTTTTCAAAGTCAATGAGAATTTTGCTTCAATATGTTATCATACATCTTCATCTTAAACTTTCTGTAATCTAAATCTTTTATTTCCTGAAGTAAGACCTTGGGTAAGACAGAATAGGGCGTTGTACAGTTTTAGCGCATCAATGCTTTTCCAATCAATCGCAAATAATAGGTTTGAATAGCTTATTTACCCATCAAAGAACATACAGATAATAGATAATAATGCTGTCAAAAGACCTATGATACTTGATAGTTGATAGCGAATGAATGCCAAGAATAGGCGGCTAAACCGAAACTCACCGACCCGCCTGGCAAGCGTGGTGCTTTAACTGCCATAACCCCCTCTGTAAATACCGAGGTAAAGACCATGGCATATTTTAAAACAAAATGACATAGACCCCAGGTGGGTGGGAATCTTTACGACCACCACAACTCTATGGTCGGCCTCACGGAATAAAAATTCGCTCCTGGTATCAAAAATTGGAAAACCACAAAAACAAGAATAACAAAAATTAACGAACAATGTTAGATACACAAAAAATGATGAAAAGATAAACTGGCGGAAGAGCTGACAAATATGAAGTGGGACATCGTGGGCTTGTCAGAAAAACGATTCTATCAATCTCCCACTGGAAACCTAGCCAATAGGATATTGCTTGTATGGTTTTTATTGTTTGATACTTTCAACATGTGCCCCTTTAAAAAAACTTGAAAAATCTGTTATCCTTAGTTGTATAATATTTTCTAAGTTATAATATGTCTATCCCCTAAATTCTACATTATAATATTGGCGACTCTTGATTTATACTGATAAATAATATCTACATCTAAGAAATTGTTTGTAATTAAATTTTGTAAATGGCATAGTCCATCAATAAAACAAACTAAAACGAAGAAAATCAGAACATCGATAAAAATAATTGAACTTTGGTAACCTATTATACTATAAACTATAAAGATTAAGGAAATAAAGATAATAGTAACTTTGGAGTAGGATTCATCATAAATAAAGCCATTAGTGAACACGTTCAAATTATCAAGGGAATCTCAAATTGTGTCAACTTGTGTTTCCTTGTGTTTTTCTGAAGTTAAATCTCAATTTCAATGTTGTATTAATTTGTTCTTCTTGTTCACCTACACAACCAGTTGTTTTATTTGTACATTTAATCAGTAACAGTGAAAAGAATGTCTTGGTGCAGTAATATTTTAACAATTTGCAGTAATATAATGGAATTAGTCATTTTATGAATAGATATCTATTTTATTTTATTTATTTTGGGGGATCACCCCATTACAGCCTAATAATAAGATGTGGTTTTGTGAAATACTTATGTGCTTGTAGTGTATTGGCTCGTCGGACAGCCCTCTTTTGCCTGAGGGTCCTTATCACCCAGCTCTCATTGTCGGGATGTCCTTTGGAAAATCAGATATCAATACAAATTATATACGGAAAAAGTTTAAATATGACTATTCTAAGGGCAATTTTGGGTTGTTATACAAGTTGCTCAGGAATTGTGAATGGACCCAAGTGCACTAATGTAAATGATGGAGTGGATAAGTTCTACAAACAGCTGTATGAATGCTTAGACTTATCCATTCCTAACTATGGAATAAGAGAGAACAGACGCACTGTAGGTATCCTACTTGGTACTCCACGGACTTGGTTCGTAATGTCAGGGGGGAAAAATCATTTGCTCATTCTGATTATGAGAGGCAGAGCCGGTGTTTCAGAGCGAATATTCAACTTTCAAACACTCTCTCAGTTAATTAACATATTAAAAAACTATTTTTCTACTGACATTTCATAATACGCTATTAAACGATTAAAATCTGTATTATAATGAACTTCATTACGATACAGATTTTCATTATAATACTCATTTTTAATATTATACAATGTTGATAGATGGCAGCACTAGTTAAGATATTGAACATTTTTAACAGTATTTTTGCGTGGAACAATTATTTTGATAACTATAAAAAAGACTTCGAATTGTTTAAAAGTTATCTAAAGTTTGGGACAATGAAAAATTATTATAGAAATAATGAGTGATAAGGAAGAATTTTTACTTTTTTAATTATTATACATTGTCAATAGATGGCGCCACCAGTTAAGAAATTTTGAATTATTATTTTTTTGAATGATGACAGCACTTTGTTTATAGCTTTTCCATGGTAATTTAGCGGAAAACAATAATTTCATGAAAAAAATACTTCGAATTGTTATTAAAAGTTACCTACCTAATGTTTGGCCTAAGGCATTATTATGGAAATATTGAGTGATAACGAAGAATTTTCACTAACACCCCCAGAAATTACAGAAAAGCCGACAAATGCAGGTAATAATATACTACCGGACAAGTCCAAGAAAATTTGCGAAAAATGATATGGACAATTTATGGATTGGAAACACCAAAAACAAATCGTCCTTCTCAGAAAATGTTTTGATAGTATATTTTGAAGAATTACAACAAAAAATGAAACCTTCAACTGAATGGATTACTCAATTATAAAATCTATATTGAAAGTCAAGCATAATATTGACATAAATGAATATCATAAGTTTTATCAATGGCAGTAGAAAAAATAGTTATATTGATTGTATTTTTATATTTTATATTTTTTAGTGACAAACTTATATTACTATGTAATCAAAAAAGGAATAAATGAATTGAATTGAATTGAATAGTGTATGCAACTCTCATGTAATGGCCATTAATACACTCGCATGTTATATACGAAACTCGCCTGCGGCTCGTTTCGTATCCTACAACATGCTCGTGTATTAATGGCTATCATTACATGATCATTGCATAATATACTATTATACAACTCAATTCCATAACAAACGTTCTATCACGTCTACAGATGCTTTTAAAATTGAGTCCCCATAAGACATCAATCAGGGATGTCGATTTTTAATCGATACTTTTGAAGATCGATTTTTTCGATACGATTAATCGATTTTTTGAATCGATTTTTTCACTATCGATATTTTTTATAATCGATTCTTTTTTTCTTGAATCGATCTTAACCATTTTTTGATCTCCATGAGTACTTTTTATTTTTTATTTCGATATTATATGTATATTTATTTATGTTTCATGAAGATTTTTTTAAATATTTTGTTCGATTTAAGTATTTATTAATAATTCAACGTATTTGGGAAAAGACTATATCTATTTTTGTCAAGATACTCGAGTTTTCTGAACAACAATATCAATACCAGAATCGAAAATCGATTCTTCAAGAATCGATTCTTTTATGACCGATTTTTTCTTGAATCGATTTTTTGATTACGATCCTGAATCGATCCTAACAATCGATTCTTTTGTGAAAGATCGACATCCCTGACATCAATGTATTAATTTTTGAACTAGGAACCCGCGCCAATTTGCGATTCTAACCTAACTAATATGATGAATTGTGTCTTGTGTCATGTTTGATAACAATAATTATTCTAATTTGGGGTTTTCTGTGAAACTTCAACATACAATTATCATTAGGATTCTTTTTTTTTTTGATAATAAAATAAAATAGTGATTTTAGTTTAAGTATATTCCAGTACAACGCTACCTTTGCCTCCAAAAAAAAATAACTATTGCTGCTAAGTTGCTTCCTGGTTCTCGGGCTCGATATTCGATATATCTTCGCCTTCAACAGCTTCCATAAATATATCTCTACTTTATGGCGTCATGTGATTTTATTGTTTAGGATCGTGCTTGAGAACGTGCTGAATATTCTCTATCATGCTCATTGTGCTCCGAAGGTAATATTCAGCACAAACCTTTTTTTCGTGCGCGAACGTTCGCGAATGTTCTCGAAAGCACGATCAGAACGTTCCCTTGTTCACATCACTAATGTTGTCTGTCTGATTTTATCTTATTTTATTTTGTCTTATTTTATATTTTGTTTTTTATTTTCAAAGTAATTTTTATATTAAAACCTATTGTTGTTATTGAGCATTTGGCTATCTGCGAACCTTTACATGTAATTACCTACCTCAGGTGTTTGTTAAGTGAATGAAATAAAAAAAAAATAGAAAAAATATTTGATTCCTTTAGGGTACAGGAGAAAGCTGAGAATGTGGCGTGATACCATATTGCTAAATAGGAAGAAGAAGAAGATGTGGTATTTTCACAGCAATTTAGGACCTAGGCTTTCTAACTCAAATTGTTTGAGGTTTTGATCAACCCAAAACATATTGGATATGATGAAGATAAAATATAATTAAAGTTAGTTTTTGCTGTCAATATAAAATATAGAAAAAATAGTGAAAATAATTCTTACCTATAGAGCCAACCCAAGTATTCAAAATACTTATCCTTTTCATAGGTGTATACACGGAAGTATAAATCAACAAATTCAATAAACCTAAACTTGCTGTAAGTCCATTTACTCCATAATACAAAATTCCTAAACCACTAGCACTAGCTGCACAGGCAAACATTATCGAATGTAGAGGAGTTAACCTTCCACAAACTAACACTCTTTGTTTAGTCCTGTTCATTTGTGCATCGAATGGTACTTCATGATACTGATTAACTGCATTAGCTGCTCCAGAAAGGAGACCTGTGCCTGCAATGCTTAAAGCGAAAGTTGTCCATTCAAATGGGGCTGGAGCCATAGCATACCCTGCCATTGTTGTCACTACGACCAAAGCTGAAAAGGATTCATTCAGTCAAACATTTTGAACTTTTTCCAGTGCTATTACTTACTTGTTAATCTTATTTTTGATAACTTTAAATAATGCTGAATGATATTTGTTTTGTCGGTAGATGGTGTGGGTCTCCATGCTGGTTCAATTTTAGGTTTATGAGGCCTTGTTTGATGTACGCTTGGAGCTTCTGTTGCCGATTCTCGACTCGGGTGATTCACATAACTAGCGGGTGTCAAGAAGTTTACATAATGCTGTTAAACGGTGTACATTTTATTATTAAATAATTTTCTCCTATATTTTGTTACCTTATCAAATATTCTGCTTTGAGGTGTTTTGTAATGGGTGAAACTTCTACATAAACTTAAATGGATTTGAAATATTCTGGACATTATTTTTATTGTAGAAAGGTAGAGGAGAAATTTAATTCGCGAATTATGTCATTTTCTTTTAAAAGATATATTTTGTATTCATCAAATTTGATTTTTCAAGAAATTCAAAGTTTTTTTGAGTAGCCATTTCAAAGGACTTTTCGAAACGACATACACTTGGAAATAATTTGATTTTTTTGATTTTAATAATTTCTTTCGTAATAATTTTTTTTAGTAGAGATCGGTAATATCGGTATGTCAATTTTCAAGGTTATGTTAAGTTAACTTATTTTTGGCGCTTCTTTATTGGGAAGCAGAGTGGTGTTCTGCGTTTCCAAAGTAATAGAAAAAAAAATAAAATATAGTCACAGTCAGTAGAGTCGAGTCTACACACAAATCACAAACGGAAAACTAATTAAGAATCCCAAAATTTTTTTAAAAACAAAACAAGAAATAAAAGGGCCAATTGTCAAATTCAAAATTGACTTACCAAAACCACATGGACACTTTCCAAAATTCACCGATAAATTGACCGGTTAAATAAACCGGTAGCTCTCAAAAAATTTCGGCAAAATGCAGGTGCAAGAATCGTAAACTAACAGGGTCCTTATTCTTGAATTAGGGGAGCAGCGTTCCCAGGAGAACGAGTGTTCTGTGTTCCGTCTTTCTCGATAATATGCAAATGATCATATAAGTAACAAAGACGGAACACTCGTTCTCCTGGGAACGCTGCTCTCCTGTTTCGAGAATAAGGACCCAGTATTGCTCATCCTCATAAGGCCTATGTTCGGCAATTCTCGAGTCGGCAGGGCATGCGAGTGACGTCACAATTATTAGCAGCATAGCCAAGGATAATACACACTACTGAGGATTACTTATCGGCCTCGTTTGTAGTAATCGTCGCAATATTGGTTTGTTACCATTTCCGACGTCATAAATAAGTCGTCAGCAGTTTGCACTAGCGGTCGTAGTTTAGAATTTATTAAATTTATGAAGAAAATTGTTATTTAATTTTGATTAACATAATAAGCAAAGAGGAAGGTGAAAACGAGATCTAAAAAAAAATTGTTTCAGAATGTTAATTAATGTAGTAAACCAAGTATGCATAAAGCAAAAGCCCGCGGAATCATAACCTGGAGTGCGTTTAGAAATGGAGTGTGAAGGTAGCGTATATCCTGTTCACAATCCGATGTCCACAGGTGCAGGTACATTTAACACCTTTCCCTATCAAATAGCCTTGAAAGGTGATGAATTTTACCGGTACCAGTGGACATCAAATTGTGAACAGATAATAGTTGTTTATCAGAGTGTTTTGACGTCATCACTTGGAGTGCACTCTGGGTGTGCCGTTTCAGAACGTAATTGGGGTGTTGCGCTAAATGTCAACGTCAAACACGGTAAAAACCGCGGGGCGTTTTTCAACCCAGTCCCTGAGTGGGGTAATTTGGGCGCACTCGGGCACGTCAACTCTCGATTTCTGAACGATTTCAGCGTAACGCTACGAGTAAGCAACTGTTAATTTATGAACGGTTTAGGTTTAGGTTCACTCTCACACCCAGAGTGCTATTTCTAAACGTAACACTGTAGTGCAAACAGCTTACGTCAAGGCAAAAAACGACATACGTCACAACTGGCGATTTGGCGAGGAGGGAGGCTTCAGATTTTTTCCACATAGGTCTAATGAGGATAGGCTATTATCCTCGAATTCAAATTCTTTATTCATGTTATTATACAGAGCAGAGTACTTACACACGTCAAAAATGTAATAAAAAAAAATAGAGTAAAGCACTATTCATTATATAAAAATTCTAAAAAAATTGTAAAACTTAATCCTAATTTACCACAATTTAAAAAACAAAAATTTTAAAAACAAGTCAGGCACTATAGAATACATCACACTTTCAAAGGATAACAATTACAATTAGAAAATTCACTAACACTATAAAATCCCTTACTCAGAAGAAAATCTTTGAAAGCCCTTCTAAAAGTATTGGGGGGCATCTCCCAAACGTGAGGGGGCAGCTTATTAAAAAGCCTGATCCCAAGGAAGCCAGGGCCATCTTGACTTCTTTTAAGTCGTCTGTGCGGAGGCACTAGTTGCCCACGGTTGCGCGTTTCATAGGAATGCACATTCTCATACCTGTCAAGATTATGCAGGTTATTCCTCACATGCAGTACACATTCAAGAATGAATTGAGCAGGGACGGTCAAGATCCCTAGGGACACAAACGCGTGTCGACAGTCATCACGGTATGATAAGTTTGCGATAACCTCTGAGGCGATAACCCTAACTGCACGTCTCTGGACACGGAAGACATCTGTTGCGCCAGTACAATGGCCCCAAATTAAAATTGCATAAGATATATGGGAGTGCAAAAGGGCAAAGTATGCCTGTCTCAGGACTGACCGGGAGACACTGTCTGTCAGCCTACGAAGTAGAAAGGTGTTTGAGCTTAATTTGGAAACCAAGAAAGATGTGTGATGATTCCATCTTAGTCTAGAATCTAAAGGTATGCCTAAGAATTTAGCAGTGACATCATCTTCCGGAAGCCATCTCATGGAAAAGACCATGTTTTGAGTTTTGGCCATGTTCAAGAACAAATTGTTGGCCTTGAACCAGAGCTCTGCCCTTTCCTCGCCTCACGCGCCGCAGTCCTAGCTCCCTCGTAATCATGGCTGGTGCAGGCTATGGTAGTGTCATCCGCGAAGAGGGTGTACCGGGCGATGTGATCTGCTCGAGGTAGATCATTTATATAAATAAGAAACAAAAGGGGTCCCAGGATTGACCCCTGTGGTACACCAACCAGCACCTCCCTCTCCGAGGATTCCACACCACCAACCCTCACCACCTGAGGTCCCTGAGGACGGTTTGACAAGTAACTAGATAGAACTGCAATACTACTATCGGAAAAATTATATCTTTTTAGTTTGGTAAGTAAAATTTGCCGTGAAACGCAGTCAAAGGCTTTGCTAAGGTCGCAGAACGTCCCGGACATGTACGTACCATTTTCAAAGGACTCTTGTATCTGAGAGACCAGATTAAGAACAGCTGATCCTGTAGTGGTAGTATATATTAGAAAGTTCTCGTGCGTCAGACGCTACGCTAATACGGTACCGCTAACAATACGGTATTTCACATGGTAATTTATAGTTCTCGGGCCCGAAGACACATAAATGTTCTAATCCCTTATTCTGTTTACATTTTGACAGTGAGTTGAGTAATCTAACCCCACTTTTTTTGCTTGTTTTCTAACTTTTGTTTATTCTGAAGATTCCTAAGCTTGATTAATTTTCCCTTGGTGCTTTTTATAGAGAAATTATAAGAAGTTTCTGTTTTTGCAGACACAAATAGAGCGTAAACTAGTTTTGACATAGCATAGCATCCGGTAAGTTCCGTTAGATAGCGGGCTCCGTTAACGCTAATACCGGAAGAACTGTCATACTTGTCAAATAGCGTTACGGTATTTGAAATTTGGACGGCACGAGAACTCTCTATTATCCTTGCAGCATAGCAGCTTATCTGGTGACGTTACCCGCAAGCCTCGATGGGATGTTTGTGTTTCAGGCTGTGCTTGTTTTTTCGCCGATTTTAAATGTAGAAAAGGTGATTATTAGCAGCATATGAAGTTTAGGAGTTCGTTTTTTTCTGTATTCCTTTCAAGAGTTTCAAGCACTTGAGCTACTCGCTCCGGTGTTTAGTCGCCCACGATTTGTGGCATTATTCTTGACTTTACCTAGGTAGAAAATTTGACATTGTTGACAGTTAATGCACTGTTTAATTGTCAACACAGTCAAATTTTCTCTAGAGAGAAAGTCAAGAATAAGGCCTCTGCAGGGAACAGATGCGTGGTGTAGCAAACACTTTTCGAAAGGAATAAGTGCGTGAAGCCCCGGAGCTGTTCCGGAGCTCCTCCTAGGTGTGAAAGGAATACAGCTATTGTCACCCCCCTCTATCTTTTTTATTTGACATTTTAGAAAAAAGTGTCCCAAATAAAAATTTTATGGTTAAAATTATTTTTTTTTGAAAAACTCACTTTTACATTTACAGGGTGTTTCAAAAAAGCTGGTTGTGCTCCAACTTTCTTATTTTAAATTGAACACCCTGTATATTATTGAATATTCGGCTTCTGCATCAAATTTTGAGCAGATTTCATGTGATATACCCTATACCTGAGTTCAACTGTTTTGGAAATATTGACAGTTGAAAATTGAGTTTTTCGTAAATTTGACAGGCTGTAAAACCTAAACGGTCAAGTTTTGAGCAAAACCGATTATACATTTTTTTCTAGGATTTTCACAAGTTATCATTTGTTACCAACTTTGAATTTAACCGAAGATTAAATTTAATTGGAATTTTCAATCATGGATTAAATTCAAAGTTGATGTCAAATATTGGTGTCAACTGGATAGTTTATAAAAATCTAAGACAATAATGTAAGATCGGTTTTGCTCTAAAAATAACCATTTAGGATTTACAGCCTGTCAAAGTTGCAAAAAAGTCAATTTTCAACTGTCAATATTTCCAAAACAGTTGAATTTAGGTATAGGGTATACCACATGAAATCCGCTCAGAATTTTACGTAGAATCCGAATATCTAATAATATAAAGGGTATTCCATTTAAAATAAGAAATTTGGAGCACGACCAGCTTTTCTGAAACATCCTGTATATGCGAAAGTTAGATTTTCTCAACAGCAGGTCTCCCCCGGATTAAGCATATAACTCAAAGGTAAACACAGCATTTGGACACGCTCACCCTGGAGTTAAAATTAACCCGGAGGTGACTCGCTATTGAGAAACCGGCCCTAAGAGAAATATTTCGATTAATCGATTCGGTCTGACCAATAAGTTCTATTTTAGCGGTTCATAACGGTATACTTATTCACAAACATCTAACAGAAAAATTTATGTTTCTGTAATAGGGAATTTTCATGTTTCTCAAATTATTTTTTTTTAGATACTTCTAGTGATCAGTTATTACATAGTTTTCTTTTTTTCCATTTTAATTTATACGTTGTACGAAAAAAAAAAATTTGAAATTCAAATCAAATACTTTGGCGCGAAAACACGAAATTCCAATTTGACAGCGCGTGTGACGTTGAGATTTTGTAAACATCAAATACGCAGCAAACGAACTCCTGCTGACGCAGTGCTATTTTTATGTTATTCAAGTTTGTTAAAGTTTGCGTTTTATGAAAATTGTCGCAATGGATGAAGAATATTGTGAAGGACTGCTTTTGTATTTTGTTAACGTGCAACTTCCCTATCACAGATTTCCCTATTGACGGGTTTGTTTACAGAATCGTGACGTCAAAACAGGTATGCATCATAGAAGCATTATTTTGGCGGGAAAATTTTTATTTCAGGATAACGCACACCTAACATGGGATTTTTGGGCTCTATGGATTTTGCCCATTTTTTGATATGTTGTAGAGGATTTAATTCTTAACAACCTTTAAATGGGACGAAATCTTGTAGGTATTACGGTCTTTGAGATATGAGCGTTGAAAAATGAACTTTTTTGCGACTTTTTGTGTGGAGAGTATACGAAAAACTGGTGTTTATCAGTCAAAATTTTGGCAGGTCGACATATTTTACGTCACTAACAAATGTCAACATAGGCTAAGGCCGGAA